GGGGGGGGGGGGGGGGTACTAAAAAATGACAAACGCTGTGAAGTGACAAAACAGTATGGGAGACGTTGAAAAGGGCAAGGAAGACAGAAAGGGCAGGACATTAGGCCTCTAAGGACGTAAATAATTGGACGATGAGTTAAAGAACCACAAAGTGTGTGACACGTCGCTGCCTGAACGTCCAGTGGACAAGTGTCAGCGAGTCTCAGAAAAACAGACATGGAAACTTTTGACTGGCTGTCTCCGAAGACTTTTTGTCTCTGCAACAATAATGAACTCTGCTCTGTCTTTCTGTAGATGATGTGTTTGACTCGTGTGTCTCTTCCACTCAGAGAAGCCATATTGTAAATAACAAACAAAACCATACAAACCCTCAGCTTTCTTTCATGTAACCTTAATTATTACAAGTACCACCCAAACCAGGTGACGGAGATGAACGCTTGTCTGTAAGGATGTAAAAGAACTACGGTAGTCCCTCGGTTATTGCGGGGATAAGTGAAAAACCACCAAGTAGGAATACAGTAGTACAAGTTTAAGTTCACGTACAGAAAACTTTATATTAAAGCTTTAGAAACCCTTCCCACACTCTTGGATTGTTCTAAACTCAAACCTAAACATACGTCCTTTTAACAACATACGTTACTAAATTTTACTTACTAGCTCTGCAGAACAGCAACAGCTCTGGTTCTGGTCCAACTCTTATTCCGACTTGGTTCGTTTCTGCAGACTATCCTGCAGCAATGAAGCCCACAAATCAGTTCTCTAAACTCTTAAACCTACTAATTTTAACAACATACCGTACTTATATGGGCAGGAGATACAAAATTTTACTTACAAGGGCTCTGCAGAACAGGAGCGGCTCAGTTCCGTCCGACCCGATAGATGAAAAAAGTCCCGGTGCAGCATGACTGAAGCCCACCGCTGCTGCTCCAGGAGCAAGGCTGCCTAGGATTTAATCCACCATCTCTGGCCTCAGCACCGCACGACAAGAACCAGGCTGAAGCCTGCAGCCATCTGTTCCCTGCAGCTCCCAGGACCTGGGTCACACCGAGTCCAGATCACCTGCAGCCCAGCTACTCAGCTGTGAAGATGCAACTTGAAGGATGAGTTCAGCTTCAGAATTATTTGATGCTTTCCTCCTGCCAGTCCTGTGAGCTTATCATCAATACTTCTGACTTTGGTTGCAAAACTTTCCCTCCATTTGCAGCAAGCAGCAGGTAGAAGCAGTGTTGACTTCTGGGAAGTGAACTGATGGCTTCTGGGTAACGTAGTTCTTTAGACTGGCAAAACAGTGAAGGCTTAATGACAGAAAACTACAAAATGGCGGCGCTTTTTAAAAAATATATACATTACGTACATGTACAGTACTTAAACCGCGATAGCGCAAGTCTGCAAAAAACGAACTGCGAAGTAGCGAGGGACTACTGTATTTTCTTTCTCCTTTTTTTTTAATCAGTGCAGTGTTATACAAATCATCTCTTATACTGGGCTCCAAGTGAGAATCTGAATTTCCCATAAAGATGGGGACAGCCTTTTTTTTTCTTGGCCTTTCTCGTATCAAATCTCAAAACGACAAAAGAATAAAATAAAAACAATCCATCATTCAGCCATATTTAAAGCACACCATTGGGACAAAAGTGAGAACAATGTAGTCCCAGACATTCCAGTATAAAAGAGAAAAAAATGCAATGCAGACAGGATGTTTAATGATCGGAGGGTAATTTGTCTGAAAAAATGTTAATTATAGTTTGTTCTTTATGATGCAACATTTGTGTTTGTGTATGAAAGCCATAATATTGTTTTATTTTTTTCTATAAGCTAAAATACTTAATCAGCAGGACTTGGTGAACTGACAAAGTAAGAGTTTTATTGAACACTCAATGTTGTTCTCTAAAAAAAAAAAATGCTTCTGAAAATGTTTTAGAAGAGGAAATGGTGCTGGACAGAAGTGTTTTTGTCACCCGGACCTCTGTGTTTTTATTGAGCACTTACTGAAATTTGTTCTGCTGTGAACTCGAAGCACTTCGTGACTTGGATTGTTTGGTCCTGTTAAAACAGAAAACAACACAAGTGGTTACTAATATCATTATTGTCTGACCACAGCGGTGGCGAAGAGGGGAAAACGCTCGTGTGAAAAGACGGGTCGGTGAGCTCACACCTGACCTTCGGAGGTCAATAAAACAACACAGACGTTCTGGTGTTTCAGCTCCAGAGTGTTAAAACAAGGTTTGAAAATATTAAAACAATTGAACTGATTCATTAAAATTCATCTCATAGGTGAGAAATTTTTTTATTTTATTTTTTTAATTTGTGCAAATGAGAGATGCTCAAAAACTATAAGTGTCCATTCCAAAACTGAATTAAAATATGAAAAATGTGACTTTTTTTCAAATAAAATGCTGGCATCAATGCAGCCACCCATTAGGAAGTTAGTCAATTTTACCAGAAATTAAAAATATATATAAAAACAATTTTCTAGCACTTTGGAATAAAGACTTTTAAATCAATCTGTAAAATAGTTCAAACATTTTTTTTTTGTAAAAATGTGTTTATGGCACTTTTTTTGCCTCTAAATTGAGATTATAGTCAGTTTGATCCACAGATTCAGTTTACACAGAAGACCGATGTCCGTGTTCTGATGTCTGACAAGGAAAAAAAAGAGGGTAAAAAACATTAAATCTGTTGCGTGCAATACACTCATCATGTAGCTGTCACAAGTAGTGTGTGAGCACACACGCACACTCGGGTGTTTACTGGTATAAAATGTGAGTATGAATGTGAGAGTGTGCGTCTGCTCATGTGTGGGTGTTTTTTGTTTCGTCTTTTGTTCTTGTTCTTGAATAAAACGGCTAACCCTTTGCCCATCACTGTGAATCTAACATGATACTCCCATGTTTGTGAATATTTCACCCAGCCATCAAAGAAAATGAACACATGTAAAAATAAAAATGCAGATGATGATAAATAATAAAATATTCCAGTAGAGGAGCACAACTCAAGCTTTTGTTGTTTCTTTTTTTTTCTATACGATTGTTAATCTAAATAAGGTTTTACACCTGATTCAAAGCAAAACGAGCCTGTTTTTTTTTTTTACTTACATTTGCATACACTGCATTTGTTTTATTGGTAACTAACGTTAAAATATTAAAGCAATATCACAGATTTTCTTAAGTGGAGATTATGTTCTTCTTCCAGCTATTTAACTGTCAACAGTGGTGTACCACAAGGCTCAGTCTTAGGACCCAACCTCTTCACAACACATAAGTAGTGTAGGTCACTTCATTCCTGGTGCATTCTTACATTTCTATGCTGACGACGCAGTTCTTTATTGTCGAGCTAAAACGGTTGCTACGGTTTTCCAGCTTTTACAGTCAGCATTTGACCATCCAGTCAAATTTGTTCTGTCTCACACTGGTGCTAAATGCTGATGTTGTTCTCCAAAAGGAAGTCAGTACCAGCAGTCCTTCCTTCTATTTTATCTTCCATCGGTGTTCATATTGAGTTTGTCTACTTGTACAAATACATGGGAATCTTGGTCGATGCACAGCTCTCTTAAGCCTCATGTCAAAAAGTTGGTAAAGAAATTGAAAGTTAAACTGGGTTTATTTTTCAGAAATAGATCTGGTCTAACTGAATGCTAGCAAACACCTTGTAATTGCTACTTTCCTTTCACCCATTGACTATAGTGATATTATTTACATGAATGCTCCTGCCAGCTCCTTGCAGATGTTGGACGGTGTCTATCACGGTGTGCTAAAATTCATAACTGGCTGTAACTATCGTACCCATCACTGCACCCTGTATTCATTGGTCAGCTGGTCTTCATTAACTTCACACAGACTCTCACACTGCACACTGGTACATCTTTAAATCACTTCTTGGTCTGCTGCCTTCATACATCTTCTAGATGTCACGTTGTCAGTGCAGCTACAATGTGCGCTCTCAGGACATAATTACCTGCAGTGTCCCCTCAGAGCGGACCAAATTTGGCAAAAGGGCCTTCTCTTACTCTGCTCCTGTATCCTGGAACACCTTGCAAAAAGATCAGAAGCTCTCGACTTTGACCTTTATAAGGGATTTAAACAACTGTTAAGTTCTTTGCAAAAATCAATGCAGACATGTTCCTGTTATTAGTATTTTACACCGTTTTATAATGTAGTATTTTTTTATTTCATTTTATATCACTTTTATTTATTTTTCATTTTATATGCTTTATAGGATTGTTTTATTGTTGACTGTACATCATCTGGTTTTTGTTTAAATCAGGTCTCTTGTAAACGAGTCCTCATGACTCATTGAGACTAACTTGTATAAATAAAGGTTGAATGAATGTGGAAAGATTATAAACAATATCTCAGTTGTGAGACACAGGAAGACTGCTTTTCTAAGTAGGGTTGTAGACAAATTCAGCACTAATTTTCCAAACTATCAAATATCTACACAAAGTTCTTCAGTAATGCATGCAAAAAAGTAGAAGTACATCACTCTTTGACTAAAATTAGCAGAAAATCACTCGTCGCCAGAAGAACTGTCATTAGGGCAACAACTAAATGCTGATGTTAAACCATGGTTCCCAGCAATTAAACCAATCCCATGAGTCACTACGCACTTTTGCAAAACATTACGGGAAAGATCAGTCATCTTTTTGTTGCCTCTCCAAAATTAAAGCAAGATTTTCAGAACTAAAGCTGAAGTCATTATATGTGTGACAATTGTCTGTCTACCTCATATCATTTTGAAAATATGGTGAACTGGGGTTAACCTCAAGTAACATGGTCGAATGCCTTCACCAAATTGTGGCATCATGATACCAACAGAACCAATGCATTCACAAATACCAGAGACAAAAACCTGAGGTCACTGAACCGGACTG